GGAGGAGGAGGAGGAGGAGGAGGAGGACGAGGACGAGGACGAGGACGAGGAGGAGGAGGAGGAGGAGGAGGAGGAGGAGGAGGAGGAGGAGGAGGGGGCATCTTGGGAGCCCCTGGGGGCACTCTCGGGGCCTGCGAGCTTCCTGGGGGCTTGTTGGAGGCATCTTGGGGGGTTCCTTTGTCCTCTCGGGGGCCTCTGGAGGCTCTCCGGGGCCGTTGGCCGTCTTATGGTATTCCTGGCCAGTCTGACGCCGTCGGAAGCCGTCTTGGGGGCATCTCTGGGCCGACTCGGGGCTCTCTGGGGGTGCTCCAGGGCCGTTTGGGAGGCCATCTTGTGCATCTTGGGAGCCTCTTGGGTCATCTTGGGCCGTTTTGGGTCATCCAGGGCCCTCTGGGGGCCGTCTTGGGGGCATCTTGGGCCGTCTTGGAGGCTTCTTGGGCGATCTTGGGGCGATCTTTATGCGCTCTTTGGCCGTCTCGGGCCGCCGGAAAGCCGAATAGAAGCAATTGCTAAAATCCTTCAAACACCGAAGGGACATCACTGATTTTGGCCTCCTCGGGCCGTCCTGGAGGCCCTCTTGGGGACGTCTTGCGCCGTCTTGGTGGGCTCCTGGCCCGTCTGACTCTGTCGGAAACCGTCATGGGGACTTCTCGGGGCCGGCTTAGAGCCCTCTTGGGGTGCTCCAGGACCGTCTTGGAGGCTATCTTGGGCGTCTTGGAGGCCTCTTGGGCCGTTTTGGGGCTCCTTCGGTCCGTCTTGGGGGCGTTTTGAGCCGTTCTGGGGCCATCCTGGAGGCCTCTTGGGCGATCTTGGGGCGATCTTTGTGGGCTCTTGGGCCGTCTCGGGCCGTCTGGAGACCGAAAATAAGCAAATGCTAAATCCGCTAAAATCGCAAGGCACATCAACCATTTTGGCCTCTTCGGCCCTTCCTGGAGGCCCTTTTGGAGGCCCCTTGGGTCGTCTTGGGGACCTTGAGAGCATCTTGGGGCCATCTTGGGCCGTCGTGGTGGCCTCCTGGCCCGTCTGACGCCGTCGAAAACCGTCTTGAGGGCCTCTCAGGGCCGACTGGGGGCCTTCTTGGGATGCTCCAGGGCCGTCTTGAGACCATCTTGGGCATCTTGGAGGCCTCTTTGGCCGTCCTGGGGTCTCCTTGGGCCGTTCTGGGGCCATATTGGAGGCCTCTTGGGCGACCTTGGGACTATCTTTGGGGGGCTCTTGGACCGTCTCGGGCCGTCGGACGGCCGAAACGAAACAATTGCTAAAATCCTCCAAACACGTAAGGGACATCACTGAGTTTGCCCTCTTCGGGCCTTCTGGAAGACCTCATGCAAGCCTCTTGGTCCGTCTTGGAGGCTTGTTGGGGGCCTCTTGCGCCGTCTGCCGTTATCTTGAGGCCATCGTGGGTTGGTTTGTAGGTTTCTTGGGCAAGCTTGGAGGCATCTTGGACGCTCTTGGGCCGTCGTGGAGCCATCTTGGGCGAACTTGCAGGCCGTCTTGCATTTTTGGAGGTCGATTGGAAAAGAACCACAGCCAAAACGTATAGGATGCAGCACGCCAGGCACCCCATCTGGCATGACCGAAGGGTGCGGCGGATCTAATGGCTTTCGGCCCATCCCGCCGTGGTGCACAGGCCTCCAGGATGTTCGTTAGGATGTCGCGGGAGGCATCTCGGGGGGCTCTCGGGGGCCGGTTTGAGTCCTCTTGGGGGCCGTTTTGTGGCGTTTTCGGGGCCTCCTGGGAATCTCTTGGGGCCTCTTGCGTCTCTCCTGTAGCCTCTGCTGCTCCTAACCGCGCTTTCCAGCTCCTCTTCCTCCTCCGCTTCCTTGCGTGGTCCAGCGCCATCTTGGACTTGCACCTGTGATCATGCCGAAGCCTTTGGTCTGCGCCTCCTCCAAAAGCCGCTCGGCTGAGCTCCAGCTGTTGGTGTTGGCCGTCCAGATGATGACCTCCCCGTCCTGCTTGAGGGTCTTGCCGACGCTGTGGTGACTCCTTTGCCCCTCCGTTCCAGGTTGGAACGAGGGGCGGCTCCTACATCCGTCGCTGGGGTAAGTTATCCCAGATCGCCCCCAATTGCCTGACGCCGTGCATGAGGCTTGGGGCCGAGACCCCGAAGCCTCTCAGGCCGCCTCCCTTGTCGAACGACCCGTCCGTGTTGGCAGCCGCCGCCTTCTCCCGGGCCTCCCCTTCGCTCGGCCTGGGCCCTCCGGCCCCAAGCAGCCGCCTGATTTCCTCCGTCGCTTCGTTGAGCAGCCGCTCGTGCGTGGCGACGAACAGCTCCAGGCCCAGGGCCTCGAAGATGCCTACGGTCGCCTCGCTCTGCGTGCGTCCCCGTCTCCAGGCCCCCCCGGCAGATGTTCTTGGCCACGCTTCTGATCGTGCTTGCTCCTCTGGCTGCCTCGACCCATCTCCTGTCGGCGGGGTCCCTCAGCGCCGTCTCGGGGTAGGCCACGCACCATTCCATACATTCGCCGTCGCCCGCTTCGGCCGCGGTCAGGGACGTGACCCATCTCCTCCTCCTCCTCCTCCTCCTCCTCCTCCTCCTCCTCCTCCTATTCCTCCTCCTCCTCCCCGCCGCCGCTCCCCTCCCTGCTGCGCTTGGGGATATGTCGGGCGTGTCCCCTACAGTGGGGTTTTCGACGAGAAATTAGAAATACCAATAAAAATACCCCCAAAGGGTCAAAACATACCCAAAACGAATTAGTCCCCAGACTATTTTTGGACTATGTTTGGGGTATTTTTTATTTTTCGTCGAAAATCCCCCTGTAGGGGGACAGCCCCGACTTAAGCTTGGGGTCGTCCCTCGCGTCCTGGAAGCCTCCGTCCATCCTGAGCTTGGGCACCGGGAACCCCAGCTCGCCCGCGAGCTGCCGCTGGTCGTCCTCCTCGCTGCCGTCCCAGAACTTGTAGCCGCCGCTCTCCTGGCACGCCTCCATCTTGCCAACTCTCACGAGCTTTGGCTCTCCTCCAGGCCACAGCAGCCCGGTCACGTGTTACAGCTTCACCACTGGGTCGAACTTGACGGCCCGCAGCTCCTCCTTGCACTTCGCAGGGCTTCCCGTCGCCATGGAAGCGCACCCCGCCAGAAGGAGCACCGCCTGCAGTGCTCCCCCCAGCCTTGCTTTCCTTGCCTTACTTGTCCATTTTTCGTACTTGCCGCCCTTGCTTGCGCCAGCGGCGTCCTGCAACCCCATCCGCTTCTGGTCAGCATCTGCTTTAGCCTCTGCCAGAGTCGCTGCCCTTCGCCTGAGCTTAGTCTCCTCATCCAGCTCCATCGCCGGTTCCTCCTTGGTCGCCGTTGCTGGTGCCACCGCCTCTGCCTTGGGCCCCTGCTTGCCCGCGCCAGCCGCCGCTGCAGCCCCTGCCAGTGGCCTCCTCCTGGCATGCCTCCTCGCCGACTCGCCCCTTCATGGAAGCACTCCTCGTGCGCGCCGCCCTGGCCTGGTCCACGCCCTCCTTGAGCTTCGCGGCCTTCTGCTCGGCCTACTCATGGAGCTCAGCGCACACCCTCTCCACCTCCTTTCCCTTCTGGTCAGCGTCCTCCAGCGTGCTCCTGCCCTCCTTCTGGTAGCGCTCCAGCTTGGCCCTGAACTTCTCCAGCTCCGCCTTGGCCTCAGCGTCGTCCACCTCGTCGATCTCCTTCGTCCACCTCGTCCGCCTTGGCCTCTGCGTTGCCCACGGGACCTCAACGCCCAGGAACCTCTCCACAGCTGCAGGCCCTGTCGGCCGACCTCCTCCGCCCTCGCCGGTGGACTCCTCCCAAGTACTCCTGAATACACTCCTTGTTGGCCTCCTCCTTGTGGGCCTCGGCCGAGGCGTACTCGTCGGCCGCGAGGTCGCGCTCCTGCTCCAGCGCCTCCAGCTGGGCCCTCGTCGACCTGACCCGCGCCTCCTTCGCCTGCAGCACCTGCCAGCGCACGCCCGCCTGGGCCCTGGCCGCCTTGAGCTTCGCGGAGGTCGCCGCCACTTTGGCCTTTTCCGCCGCCTCCCCACCGCGCGGGGCCGCGCACCTCCGCAGGGCCGCCAGCGCCGGCTCCTGGCACCCCGCCCGCATCTTCTCCAGCGCCCCCCCGATCTCCTCGGGCGTCGGACCCGGCGCGCCGCCGAGCTCGCGCCCCTTCGCGCCGTCCTCGGCCCCTGCCCCTGCAGCACCCCTGCGGCCCGCGCCGGAGCCGCGCGAGCGGCTGCCCCACGGGCCCAGCGCAGGCGTGCCGACGAGGGTGCCGCGGGAACGCCATCCTCTGCGCTTCCGCAGGGGGTCATCCCACGCCCCGTCGCCGCATTCTTCCGCACGCCGAGCAGGTGCCCCTGCCCATGCAGGCGGGCACCTGCGCGCCTGCGAGCCGTGGCGCCGCTCCAGAGGCGCGGCCGCCGCCTCGCGGCGCCGCCGCTGCCGCGCCGACGGCGCGCGCCTCGCCAGGCCCGCAGCAGGGTCCGCGCCGCTGCCCGCTGGCGCCGCTGGCGCCGATGCCACGCCGCCTCCGATGGCAGCGCGATGGTCCCAGCCCGAGGGGAGTCTGCGGCAGCCTGTCTGCCCCCAGGCGCTCGGACCAAAACTACGACGGCGACGACGATGGCGGCTGCGGCGGCGGCGACGGCGACGGCGACGCCGATGCCGACGACGATGCCGATGCCGACGACGATGCCGACGACGACGACGCCGACGCCGACGACGGCATCGACGATGACCACGACAACGACGATGGCGAGGCCGACAACGACGACGACATCGAGGACAGCGAGGCGGGCATCGACGACGGCGACGACGATGGCGAGGCCGACATCGACGACGACGACGACGACGAGGACGAGGGCGACGAGGACGACGATGACGAGGCCGCTGACGACAACGACGACGACGACGACGACGACGACGACGGCGAAGACGACAACGACGACGAAGAAGACGACGACGACGGTGACAGCGACGGCGACGGCCAGGCCATATCTCCTTCGCGGCGTGCGCGCTCCGCGGCGGTTGTCCCCGCGGGGGGGGAGGGCAGGACGTTGGCGCCGAGGCCTACAGCATGAACTGGCCCCTCCAGGGCGCGCCCCACCTGCGCGACCCGCCCAGCCGGTCGATCGACGGCGTCTGCCGTTGTCGATCGACCGACGGCGGCGACGACGACAATCGACCGACGGCGAGACCGTCGGACGCGAGGTGGGGGCTCGACACAATCAAGACGGGTGTGTGTTCGCCGCTTTCGGCCTCCAGAGGCCCTCGCCGGGCTCCGGGGCCGTCGAGCAACGACGGGGGGTGAGGCATTGGCTCTCTTGGAGTGGGTCGAGGCTCCCGGGAGGAGCGGCTGCACGCCGCCGCCTCCCCTTGGGTCCTGGAGGCGCCTTCTGGACGGGCGTCCTCGACGTCCGGACACGGACGCACGCGGCCCACCCCGCTGGTCGATCGACGATGCTGGCGTCTTCCAGCGTCGACCGACCGACGGCGACAGTCGGCGGTGGCGTCGACGCCAAACGTCGAGGAACACGAAAACAAGTAAACATAAGCGTTCGGTGGTCCGCACGGATTTCTGTTCAGCGCGCCAGGGAGGGGTGTTCAGCGCCGATCCAAGAAATCAGTGCGGAGGTCTTTGAAATCGATTGGCGGCGACGGCGATTGATCGGTCGTGTCGCATGTTTTCTTTGGGGGGAGGGGGAGGTTCACGCCGCCAGGGCCAGACGCAGCCTGGGAGCTAGCCTAGATGGGCCAGGACTGATCCGGGGACTGGTTGCGCCAACAGCCCACAAGGGTCCTCGGCAGCGTCGATATGCGTCGGTTCACGATGGCGGCGGCGGCGACCAAGTCTTGCTGCTCCTGCCGATCCTGTTCCTCTTCGGAGCAGGATCTGGGGAGGATCCAGGCCTCCCAAACGGGGTCCGAATAGATGTGGTCGGATGCTTGCGCCGCATCGCCGATGCATCGGCGTTGCGGCGCTACCCTCCGACCCCATCTACCCTGACACCATCTAGGAGGCCTCCAGAGGAGGGGGGGAGGAGGATTGAGGAGGACCTTCCGATGTTACCCTCCTGCCCCCTCTCTCTCCGTTCCTGTTCTCGTCCTCCTTCCTTGCTTTCCTCCTGCCCCTCCACCCCTTTTCTATCTCTCCCTCTGTCTCTCTCTCTCTCTCTGTCTCCCTCTCAGCTCCCTTCTGTGTCTCTCTCTCTCTCTCTCTTCTATCTCTCTCTCTCTGTCTCTCTGGCTGTCTCTCTACATGTCTCTCTATGTCTTCTCGATTTGTACATATACATATATATATATATATATATATGTATATCTATATATATATATATATGTATCACTTTCTTGCCTCGCCGTTGTCGTCGTCCTCATCTTACCAATCCTCCGTCTTCTTCTATTTCGCCACCCTCAGCCCAGCCCCTGCCCGTGCCTCTCCACTGCAACATTGCCTCACTTTCCCTTTCTCTCTGCCGCTGCCCCTTCCCCTCGGGCGCCAGGCCGTTTCCTTTGCCTGCACTCTCCTTGCCTCGTGGTCTTTCTTCCTGACCTTCTCCCCCCGCCCCTGCCATTCCCTCGCCATTCCCTTGTCTCCTGGCCTTTCCCTTGAGCGGTGATTCCTTTGCAATTTCCTTCCCCCTTCGCTTCGCCCTGGCCGCCCCCCTCCCCCCTCTCTCCCTCCATCCTCCCTCCTCCCTTCTTCCTCCTCCCTCCATACGTGCAATGACATTTGCGTTTGCGTGTGCACCCGAACTGGCTCGTCGCGGCTGTCGTAAGGGTGATGCGGCACACGTTCTCGCTCCTGTGCAGGGCGCATGCCGCGTCGCCACCACCGTGTATGGGCCCGACCGGCGACGGCGGGGCAGCCAGACGTCGGGCACGGGCTCGGGTGGGCACGAGTCTCCTCGTCGCCGCTTGGTCTCCCGGCCGCCCAGGCACGCTCAGGCCCGCGGCGGGCGGTGGACGCTCTATGGGGTGGCGGGCTGCGTTGGGTCGCCGAGCCGCCTGCCCCTCCCCCCTCCCTCTCCGAGCAAGCGATGCGGTCAAGCTGCGGAACAAGAAGATGCCCCTCTTGGGATCATAGGAGGGGCCCCGATCTTCGAGCCGCTCCGCAGGTCCGGGTCGTGGGATTCGTGCGTGGCCGAGGCTCGCCGTGGCCAGAAGAGCCCCCTTGATTCCGTCTGCAGCTTTTCTCCGGGTGGCACGATGACTGCAGCCCTTCTCTCCTCATTTCCCCATCCCTTCTTCTTCTTCTTCCTCCCTCCTTCATTCGCCCTCCCAGTCTCCCCCACCACCCCGTCAAGACTCCGCTAACAACTCCCGTAGTCTTCTTGGTTGCTCAAGGACGGTGGTTCGAGTCGTGCAGCCACGTTGTGAAGCAGCGCTCCACTATATTGAGAGTTGTCGCAAGAGTCGGTGCCGCAGGGCCATGCTCGACTCTGTCCCAATGAAGTCGTGACGAATCCCAGGCTGTCGCGCGTCGAAAGCTCGGGCCGACCGATACTGCCATCGCTTCAGGCCCCACCTCGATGGCGGCGACCTGCCCAGTGATGGAATTCGCATTTGTCGACCGCGGGGGTGGCGCAGATCTCTGCGCAGCGGCGTGGCAGCTCCTCGGCAAGAAGCAGGCTTCGCGCATCACGGGTGGCGAGGGCGAGATCTGGACCTCCCTGGAAATCGTCTCCACAAGAAGTTCTGGCGTTTCAGCGCTGTTCCACCGCCCGCCCCAGCGGTTGCGACGTGGATGCCCGTGGACTGCCGCGCGCCGCGCGTGCTCGCGCTGCGCTGTGGCCCGATTGCCGCTAACGTCCAGCCGCTCTTCGCGGACGTCGAGCTCGACGCGGCCTTCTTGAAGATCTCCAACGCGAGCAACAGAGCTGTCCTCGTCGACTGCCCCGTCGCGCCGCCGTCGTCGACGGTGCAGATGGCGACGGGGGCCCAGTGGGGTTGGGCGTCGCAAGGGGGCAGGACGGGCGGGGCAGGGGGGAATGTTCATTGGCTTCGCTTGCGTACTCCCTCAGGTGCAGGACCAGATGCGCGAAGACCTGTCGGCGCCCGAGTGCCAGAAGATCGCGTGGGAGGGGGCCAGCAATGCGCCCAGCCGCTTGCGTGTGAAGATCTCCGCGGTCTTTCGCTGCAAGCGCCCGCGCGTGCTCCACTGAGAGCGCGCGGGGGCGAGACTAGCCCGCGGATATGAGTTGACCGATTGGGATTCAATTTCCTCTCACCCCGTGGCATAAGGCAGGGCGGGGGGCGGGGCGAGGGCTGCGCCGTTTTCTGCCCGAGCCGCGCCCTGGCGATTCAGGGCTTGACAGATCGTCGCGCGCGCGGCCCGCTTCCCCACCCGCGACGAGGCGGGGCAATCGATATCACTGGGGCTGAGAGGCCCAGCCGACCCCGCTCCCCGCCAAACCCCTCAATGCCCGAACGCCTGAACACACGAACGCCCGACGACACGAATACCCAGGGCGCTCCATTGCCTTGGATATCCGGGCATTCGGGCATTCAGCCACGGGCAACGCCCGCAGCGACGCCGACAGCGAATCCTGTTCATCGGGGGCGTGGATCAGTACCCAGTGCAGTAATGCATTTCTCCTCAGAAAGCAATTGTTTGTTTCCCCGACGGCGGCGGGCAATGCCACGCCTCGGCGAGCCGTTGAGCCGAGGCCAAACGCATGGTTGAGGGCCAGCGCAGGTAGGGTCCGTTAAGAGGGGGGCAGCTAAGCGAAAGCGTGTGAGGATTGTTTGAGTTTGTTTGGTTTGACATGTTCTTGGTGCGCTCATTTTCTGTGTTTTCCATCCGGGTTTTTGGGGCGTGCACCACAAGTGGCCTCAAGCCATGTTTGGTGTACCCATGTACCCATGTGTGTTTTTTCGATTGAACTCGAGCGCGCCAAAGTTCTGCGTCGCCAGGCAGCTTCGGTTGTCGGGGCGCCAAACGTCTCATCGGCTCGCCTGGGGGCGTGCCCCTGTGGGTTGTCGCCCCCGTGTTCCCACGGTTGGCGTTTGCCCCTGAGGGGCCTTGTCGTCGGCCGACATCCCCATCCAGGAATGTATGACCGTTCTCTCGCGAGCCCCCACTCAGTATGAAAAGGCCATGCAACCGGTCCTTGATTCCATTTCTTCCCGTGCCCACTTCGATCGTCCCGATCACCCCTCCCCCCCGCCCCCGCCTATCATGATGGCGTCCGTTTCCGCCACAAGGGGACCGAACTACTCCATGCGGCCCCTCGGCCAACGAAGACGGCTTCAGGGAACGGTGCCAACGTATTTCCACAACCCTGACCTTTATAGTCGGATCGGAGGCGGGGGTTTATACGTAACCAACGCCTGGAGGATCGATGTTCGCGGAATTCCCAAATGCTGTATATGTGGGTGTATTTCGGCCCCGAAGGCGCCGAACAATATTTCCATATCCGCCGCCCGATGGATCCGCAGGACGCTGGTACCACGTGCGATGGAGCAGGATTTGTCCTTGCTTCGCACTGAAAGCGCCCACTGCCACCATCAAGTTGTTTCCCGCCTCCTTCCCCTCGCCCCTTGGGGACACCCCCGCTGCATGACCCGCGGTCAGGCGTTCTGTGGGACTCCGTGCCGCAACTGCACGACCCCGCCGCGATGCAGTTCCATCCGTCGTGCCAGGCGTTGGGGCAGGGCTCATTTCGATTCCCTTCGATTCGATTCAGTTTCGATGGTTTCCGATTCCCAGTCGAACCGAACTTGGATTCCGATTTGGATTCCGATGTCCCAACGCAGCCCTGATCCTGCCGATTTTCGCCGATACGATTTTTCCAGACTCCGCTGCCGATTTCGTCGATCCGACGCATTTCGACCGCCGATCCGACTTCGCGATCTGATTCCGGATTCTCTGGGTAGGAGCGGGGGAAATCGCCATGAACCAGGGGCAGCGCTTTATAACCTTCTGGTCCATAACGCGCGTTATGCCCATCCCCTTTACCCCGCTCCCCCCTCCCCATAATGTAACGCTCCCCCCTTCACAGAGCGTCCCAGCACTGCCGTAGCGCGTCCAGCACCACAGTCTGGAGGCCGCCATGGACCGGTAGCAAAACATGGGTGCCTTGAGTACCTCCCTCGTTTCATCTTTAGAGCGCGCTAGCGTCGATTAGCGTCTGGTAGTCGATGATATGGCGCTGGTTTTGCGTCGATTCGTGCCGATTTGCCTCGATGCACAAGAGCCAACAAGAATGTATGGGAGGCTCCAGTGAGGTGCCACACAACCATGAATCAGGGGCAACGTCAGGGGGGGTAACAGGGTTCATTTCGACTTTCATCCGCTTCGACGTCGATTCCGAGCCCAGTCCGATTCGATTCTATGCCGACGTTCACACGGTCGCTGCGGCCCGATGCTAGCATGGCGTTGCTGTGCATCGTGGCGCAGCCTATCCGATTCGATTTCGACTCCGTGCCGATGCAGCCCGGGTCGGGTATCGGACTGGGCTTCGTGCTCGTACGGGACTTTGCTTGCTTGCTTGCCTATGCAGCCCGATCCGATGCACCTTTCGATTCGATACGATTCCCCGAGTCGATGCTGACTGATCCTGCTCAGGCTCAGGGCGATATATACGTATGTGTATATATATATGTGTGTATATATATATATCGACCCGAACTCGTCCACTCTTCGCCGATAGAGGCCTGATATCCCACCCCGTCCAGGAACGTGCGGATTCGCTTTCGGGGGCATATCCGATCTATCGGCGAGGCACCGCACGCTGCCTGTCAATAAAGGACATAGGTTCTGAGGGAAACGGGTCCTGGAGGTTTTTCGTCGCTTTCGGGCTGGGGACCTCGGGCTTCGGGGCCGCTAAGAATCAGTACGCAATGAAAAGCTGATCCTGGGGGGAGGCTTGGGGTCCAGGGCCCGTTTCCCTGAGGACCCGTCCTCTTCACTCCAAGGACGGATTTGGGCCTCCCAGATGGTCGGGTCGGAGGAAAAGGGGGGAGTGGGTGACGAAATCGGCTGCATGCAGCCGGTTTCGGCCCCGCCGCCGGGCCGACACGGCCAGTGGCATCGTCTTTGTGGGCCATCTCGACCGCAGTCATTGGCACTAGGTTTCGCCCATCAAATTTACCTTGAGGATGTGATCCGCTGCAGGGCAAACATTTATTTCTGGCAGCATCGATTTCCGCAAGACGCCCCAGAGTTTCCAGTACTTCGACAATGGTCACCTCATCCTCCTGCCTCCTCTGCCAATCCCTCCCTCCCTCCTTCTCCTCCTTCTCCTCCTCCTCCTCCCTTTCCTCCTTCCTTTCCCTCCCCGCCCTCGGATGGCGCGGCAGGAATGCCGCGGTGAAGGGTTGTGACGAAGTCCTTCAAGTAATTGGGGCCAGTCGGAAGGCCTGACTGGCCCGTGGTCATCGTCGTCGTTCTTCTCGTGCTTCTCCCTCCGTCCTCGTCCCTCTGACTTCCAGGCCAGATGGGATTGGGGACCGACGACGACGACGACGACGACGACCCCGACCTCGATCCCGACCCCGACCCCGACCCTGACCCCGACCACGACCGCGGCCATGACCACAACCACGACCACGACCGCGAGCACGACGACGACGACGACTACGACTACGACGTCCGATTCCAGCGTGAAAACGGAAGAAAGGGGAGACGACGACGAGGAGTCTGCTGATGAGGACGACGACGACGACGACGACGACGACGACGACGACGACGACGACGACGACGACGACGACGACTAGCACGGTTACGACGACGAGGCCGACGACGATGACGACCAGGACGGCTACGACGACAACGAGGAAACGAGGACGACGGCGAGAGCCTCTCCTGGTGGCCCCCGCGCCCACGGAAGCGGGGGCACTGCATCGCTCCGCGTCCGCGAGGGGCGGGGGTTCGGACCGGGGGGGGGGTCACACCTGCTCCTTTCCGCACCCTCCAGAGGTGGCCCAGGGAAGGGGGCGCACGGGGGGGGGTGAGGGGGGGCGAACCAGGATGGGGGAGATGGGTGGGGCGGCGGATTCGTACCCCCTTCCCTCCTTATATAGCTCTCTCTCTCTCTTTCTTTCTTTTTTGTTTTCTCCCTCTCTCTTGCTCTCTCTCTCTCGCTCCTCCCTCCTCTCTCTCCTCTCTCCCGCTCGCTCTCTATGGACAGCGACGACGACTCCCCGCTTGCGCCGCCGAGGCCGCCTCACAGCAGCTCAAGCGCCTCCCCCCACTCCGCGTAACCTGGCCACCACGGCCTCCGCACGTGCGAGACACCACCTCCCTGCTTCGGCGGCCGGTCGGTCTACCGCGGCGGCCCATCCGCCCGACCGCGTCGTTCCCGCCGAAGCCCTCCCGTGCGCACGCTCGGTGCTGGACACGAGCGCGCTCGGTGGCGCCCAGTCCGCCCCCCTCAGCGGCCACCGCCCTCCTGGTCTCCACCCTCCTGCCGTCCCCGTGGCCCCCGGCGGTCCTCCGTGCCCGGCGGAGAGCCCTGAGCACCCGCCTCGCCGCCGCGGCTGCGACGGCCTCGGGCCGCGTGCCGCTGCCCTGGAGCACAAAGCACTGCAGGGGGGGCTCGACCGCCTGGCCCCCGCCCAGCAAAGCCGTTCTTCGCTCCAGGCAGGCTGCCTGGGGCGCCGTCCGCCAGGGCCAGCGCGCCGTTGCCGCCCGCCTCCTCCACCGTGCTGCTGGCGCCCGAGTCGGCCGCCGCCGGCAGCGCCCGCGTTACCCACACGAGGTTTCGGCTGAAGACTGGCACACGCTTGCGCGCGGCGCCGACAACTCGCACGCTCTGGAGCAGGAGCTCGCCGCCTTCTGAGGGCCGAGGCCCGAGCCGCCCCATTCCGCCAGGGACGCTCTCCGGCGCGCCTGCGGTGTTGGCCTTGTCATCATCATGGTCTGGGTCGGTCTGCAGGCGGTGCAGCCGGCGCCCTCCCTCCCTCCTGGAGGAGGAGGGGGGAGGGCTTCGTGGGGTTCGGGAGGGTGCCAGGGTGCTCTGGGGGGCCTTTGGGGAGGGGGGGAGGAGAAGGAGGAAGAAGAGCAGGAGGAGGGGAGCCGAGCGCGACCCCCCCGACGGTCTTTTCATACGTCGGGCGTCCACCCCGTCGCTCGCACGCCAAGAGCGCCAGGGGCTCTTGTCGTGCATGGCTTGGTGCACCCGGCCCTCGAGAGGAGCGGAGCCACGCGGGGCGCTTGGTAGCACCGTCGGCCGCTCGCGGGCACGCGCTGCGGTTCTGGTGCCCCTCCCGCTCGCCCCTCGCTGCTGCTCTCCGGAGGGGGAGAAGGTAGGCAGACCTGTACGTCCACCTTTCGGGTGATGAGGAGGTTTGGGGGTGGGGTGGGGGGGGAAGGGCCAACTACCAGCGAATGCGATGGGCGCGGTGATGACGATGCTGGTGGCGCGCCCTCTGAGTTAGCGACGTCGCGTGGTGACGATGTGGCGCTGCGATGTAATGTCGCTAGCGTCCCCGCTGTCGACCTCACTCGAGCAATCCCACAGTCGCGCTCGCAGGATTGATCACTTTCGATCGATCTCACTATAGATCTCACTGTCGATCTTACGATCGGTCTCACTATAGATCTCGCTTTCGATCTCACTGTCGATTCCTCGATCGATCCCACTATCGATCTCACAACCAATCTCACAGTCAACCTTACTGTCGATCTTACTTTTGATGCCACTATCCATCCCATTCTAGCAATCTCATTGTCGATCTCACTATCGACTTCACTATCGATACCAAGGCGGGACACCCCCGGCCACCGCCCGCCTATATATATGCCGTCCGGGTTGTTTTTGTCACCGCCTTGGCGGTGGAGTGTTGGCGGTTTCGTATCTATCTTCCTTGACCTCATCCTTATTTTCCTTCACCATCCCCCCCTCCATTCCTCCCTTTTCGCTTCGTTCGCATCCTTCTCGCACTTTGCTTGGGCGACGGGGGATGGAGGAGGCAGCCGCGTGCGCGGCGCGGGCGGGGGGGCGGGGGGAAGGGGGAGGGAGGCGCTAGAAAACAATCGAAACCACGCCAGTCAGCCAGAGCATTTTCTCACGTGCCCCCAACGCGCCGAAGGCGCGGTGGTGGACAGGTTTCCTGCTCCAGAGGTTCAGAGGTCTGCAGATTTAGATTAGCAGTGGGCGCGCGCGAGTAGTGGAGCGCATGCTCGTGCCTTCGTGCGCGCAGGTGCGCGTGAACGCGCACGAAGCCCAGCGCACGTGTGCACATGCTTTCGCTTGCGCGAGCCCTCTGATTTCTGTGCGGTGTCAGCGAGAGGAATTGCGCCGTGGCATTCTTTTACGGCTCATTCTGACGGGGTCGCCTGCTCGCCTGCCATATTTCTCCGAAGCAATGAAGCAACGCAGTGAGCCATATGGGGTATGCCGTCGTGGCGTTAGCTGGTGCCAGGACTGACGAGGTCAGGACCGGTCGTGGGCGGCGACAGCGACATCGTGCCTCTGCCTGTGCCGGGCTGACGCCTGGATGTAAAACGCTGTTGGAGGATTCGCTGAGGCTTGCAGGTCTACCAGGGTGGTCTTTCACCAGCAGTGGCGGTGACGTTTTTTGGCAGGGGGTGTGTCGCAATATTACTGGGTTGGCAGTTGTCAAATTACCTGGGCGCGTCTTTTCGCAGATGTTGGATTTGAAATCGAGCGAGCACGTTTTTCAATATTTCAGCTGGC